GGGTCCTAGAATAGGGTTTTGGGCAAAGTTGTCCCGAGGAGTTCAGAGTGTGCTGACAGACTCCGTGGGTTAAAGGCTTGCGGTTTCGGTACTACGGTGGATGATATAAATCCTGCATTACCTTAAGGACCCTAAAGCTATGGAAATTACGGTATATTCCTTATTATGGGTAATGCAGGATTTATATCATCAACCGTAGCATCTGAATTGCTGGCCAACCGTAAGCCTCAGCCGCAAACCCGAAATGCCCCAAAACCAACAAACTTTAGATGCCTCGTCCTCTAAACAGCACCGCAAACCTTGGAACCCCGAACCCAAGCCCCCGAACCTGAGAACCCTTAAACACACCAACGTTCCACCTATTCCTCTTTTATCTTGACTACCGGAACGACTCACGGATCTATCCCAACATTAACCACAGACTCCAGCTTACTTGGAGGGTCGGGGCACTTAGTAAGTAGGTAGTAGGTAGACTTATAAGTACCCTAAAAGGGACCCTAATTGGGGTTATGGTACTTATAAGTCCTTAAAATAACCAGTTACTAAGTCCCCCGACCCTCCAAGTAAGGAAGACAACTAACCCTGGAAGACCTAGAATCTGGCACCCTAAACCCTAAATCCTAAACCCCAAACCCTAACTCTCGAACCCCAAACCCTAAATCCTAGACATGTAAAACCCCCATCCTCCCCGAAACCCTAAACCCTAAAACCCCCCGAACCCTAGACCCGCAAGGTTTAGGGCTTTTTTTGAGAAGGTTTAGGGCTTTGGGTTCAGGGACCCTGAACCCCGAAACCGCTATCCCTAAAATCTGTAACCCGAAAAGCCTTAACCCGTAAGGTTTAGGTTCTAGGCTTCAGAGTTCAGGGAGCCTGAACCCCTAAACCGCTATCCCTAAACTCTCCTAAACCCTAAACCCTGAAACTCTATAACCCCTATAAACCCCTTAAAGGAAGTCCTATAGATCCCTTTAAAGGAACCCTAAGCTTTCGCAACCTGGGCTCGAGGCTTTCCCCGGCCTGCTGCACGCGCGTGAGCGCCTGAACCAATCTCCCACGACAAAAGACTATACTGAACTTAGAACCCTAGCAAAAATCATAATTTTAGCTGTTTCTTAGGGATTATAATAACCAAAAACTAAAAAATATGTCTAAGTACCCCTAGGAAAATTTTTTGAAGATCTGGACCGAAAGATAATGAACAACAAAAGACAAGCTAAGGGTTTCAGGTTGAGGGTCGAGGGTTGAGGGTTTCGAGTATGGTCTCAGATTTAGGCATTCGGGTTCAGGGTTCAGGGTTTAGGGTTTAGGGCTTAGGGTTTAGGGTTTAGGGTTTAGGGTTTAGGGTTTAGGGTTTAGAGTTTCAGGTTTCGGTTTTGGCATAAAGGTTAGAGGGCTAGTTTAAGGCGCTATATCCTCACAAACTAGCACTGCCTCGTTTCATCGCTTCTTCAGACTCAACGCCCGACGCCGAACCCTAGACTATATAAGCACTAGAAGCACCGAACCCTTAACTTCGAATCATCAACGGTTAGGGTTTAGGGCTTGGGGTTTGGGGTTTAGGGAGTTTAGGGTTTAGCAGTCACGGTTTAGGGTTTAGGGTCCCCAAACCTTAAACCCACACAGAGGACCTTGCAAAATCCCATCGAAACCGCGACAAACTCCCGTCGGAACCGACTGAAACCGTAGGAGGCCCTAGACCATAGCAAAAGACTTTGAAAATCGAACTCTTAGGGTTTAGGGGTTTAGGGTTCCTTTCAAGGGGTCTAGAAGGGCTATCATAAGGGCTACTTTCAGGATTTAATGTAGGGGCCTTAAGAATTAGAATTGGGTTTTGGTGCAAAATATACTATAATTCTAGCAAGGAACCCCCAGAACCCTACTCTAATTATTTGGGCCCCCACGTTACTCCTAAACCCTAAACTCCTGAAGACTTAACACTACACCAGTATTCTATCTGAGAGAGCGGCCTGCTGGTATGTGCCGTCCGCCTTCGACCGGGACAGCTTCGGTTTGCGTCTCCGGGCTTAGGGTCTGATTTTGTGTTAAGGGTGTAGGCTTCAGCGTTTAGTGTTTACATAGTTTTAGGGTGTACGGTTTAGGCTTTAGGGCTTTGGGTTTAGACGTTTTTAGGGTTGAAGGTTTAGGGTCTAGCCTTGGGGATTTTTTTAAGCTTCGCAGATTTCGGATTTAGGGAACCCTGAAGCATAAACCCCAAGCACTCAAACCTAAACCGTAAATCAAAGGGGAAAAGGAGGGACCCTTCATGGGGACCCCTACCCTATGATGGGCTATATCATGGGTATATAGGAGCTATATTAAAGGTATATACCTAGGGGTTCTAATTAAGGGTCCCTCCTTTTACCCTTGGAGTAAACAAACATTCAACCCTAAACCCTAAACTGTGGAACCCTAGTTAAGCCCTCGATAGAACTCACCTCCAGGCGAGAAAGCCCTACCGATCAACTACCTCAGGGCTCGCTAGGCCTTTCTTTTTAGATTTGGGTGGTTGTCAAAACTATGGTCCCTTTTTGGGTCCCTATTATAATACGGCACCTTTCATTTAGGGTACCCAAACAGGGACCCTAATGTTGACAACTACCCATTTAGGGGTTTGGGTCGGTCAGGGTTTAGGGTTTAGGGTTTAGGGTTTTTTCTTTTTTTAAGTGGTTCAGGGTTTAGGGTTTAGGGTTTAGGGTGGGTGGGTTTAAGGCACCTGGAGTACGAAGGCGGCCTGCGATCGCGAGCTTCGGGCGGCGCAGACTTCTGAGGTCTACCAAGAAGCAGGGGCCACCCTGAACCCCTGAATTAAGGAATACCTAAGGGTTCCTTTAAAGGGATCCTTAGGGGTTCCTTCAAGGGATCTATATGGTTTAGGGTTTAGGGGATTCCGATATCCCTCAATTAAGGAATATACCTTAAATCATAATAGGATCCCTAATACAGTTTAAGGTATATTCCTGAATTAAGGGTTTTGGAGGCTCTGGGGAAGCAGGGGCCACCCTGAACCCTACAGTGTAGGGTTTAAGGAAAATTCAGATGCCAAGACCCTAAAACCTAAATGGTTAAAACCCAAAAAAAAAGCCGGTATCTTACACAAGCTCTATACAGACCGTGTAAAATTAAAACTCTACGAAACCCTGAACCCCGCGCTACAGAGCCCTTAGAGCAAGCCTTAGAAGAAGCCCTAAAAGCACCATAGAACCCCCCTCGAACCCTCACAAAAAGCCTTGACTGAAATCTAAAGTCCTTTAAGCCCTAAAACCTAAACCTTTGACCCTAAGCCCTAAACCCAAAGCCCTTAAAGGAACCCTGGAGAATCCTACAGCCCTAAACCCCTCTGAACCTTGTAGACCTGCATCGCCACACTCCAGTCGGGGCTCGTCAGCCTGCCGCCGTGATTTAGGGCTGTTTGAGCTTAGGTTTTCAGGGTTGAGGGTCAAGGGTTTAAGGCTTCAGGGGTTTAGGGTTTTGGGTTGGGGCCTAAGTGGTTGAGCTGTCTGGGGATAGGGTTTATGATGCTTGCCCAGGTTTCAGAAGGGCATGTGCAAGGGCTATCTGAGGGATTCTTCACCCGTTTCTCGAATCCTACGCGAAGAGAGCAGAGCCCCAAAAAAAGAGAGAAACTACCCCCAGGAGAGTCCAACTCGAACCCTAAAGCCCAAGCCCGTCATTCAACCCCAGTGTAGGCCTTAGGGCTTAGTTTCGGATGGAGCCCCGAAGCCCTCAAACGCATACAACCTAGCCCCGAACCGACCGTCACCTGCCTACATCCAAAACGCCAACCTCTGAATTAACGATTTGGGAAGCCTTGCCCCACTTGCACGCTACTTGGAGGTTCATGGGACTTAGTAACTAGAGTTGTACTTAAGGTAAGTACACTTATATGTACTTGTAACTTCAGTTACAAGTACATATAACTGTACTTACTAAGTCCCATGAACCTCCAAGTAGACCCTAAACCCTAAACCCTATAGATCCCTTTAAGGAACCCTATAGCTCCCTTTAAGGAACCCTATAGATCCCTTTAAGGAGCCCTTTAAGGAGCCCTCTAAGCTGAAACCCCCAAGTCGGTTTAACGTTGAACGCCTGCAAAACCATACACTTCCTAACGCCGGTAAACCCAGCAAACTCTGAAGCCCCTTCACCCTAAACCCCTAAACCCCTAAACCCCAAACCCCTAAACCCCAAACCCCAAACCCCTAAACCCTAAACCCCAAAACCACTAATCCTGCGAACCCCTTCAACCTCAAACCCCTGTACTCCTACGAACCCGAGAAACCATCTCTGATGCTCTAAACACTAAGTAACACAGGGGCCTCAATAATTAGAAAAAGGTGTTGGGATATATTAGACCATAGCTATAGTTATCATGAAGAACCCCCCAAGAATAGTATAGGTGAACTATGAAGGCCCCTATACTAAATCCTTACAATAGCCTTTATAGCACCCCTGACAGACCCCTTTAAAGTAAGCCTATTCTAGTATGAAGGCCCCCAGTAAGGCCCCCATATTAACATGCTACGACTCTCAGACTTCACTCGTGAACAATTGAAGTCTACACCCCCTTAACCACCAGTCTGGGGTCTTCTTGGGGTTGAGGGTTTTTGGGCTTAGGGGTTTCAGAGGCTCTACCCTCAGGCCCTCAATCTCTACGGACTCATATTTTAGGATACCCAGTAACAACAGAATAAAAAGGCCTCTCTTTTTGGTATTAGGTAACTTTATAAGGAACCTAGGACTACAGAAAGGAAATAAGGGTACTACTGGGCATCCTAGCCAAGAAAAGGCACACCTAATATGTCAATGTGAGCCTTGCAGTTTAGAGTTTAGGGTTTAGGGCTTAGGGTTTAGGATTAGAAGGTGGTCCTGGGGTAGACTGTAGTACAATTTATATGGGGGCTGGAAGCTAATTCCTCCGGCCTCTGTATTACTTTGACAGTTATCTTATGCTTCCCGTATTTTATGGGCCTTCTTGCGCGAAACACGTCAAGTACGAAAGCTCAAGAGGGCGTCGTCGAGCCACGCCGCCTGTAGCTCAAGGGCACGATGAAGAAGCTGTAGAGGTACGGCCTGACACAGCTAGGTGCAGGGTTAGGGTTCAGGGCTTACACGTTTTGGGCTTTAGGATCACAGTATATACGCTTTGGGCTTCAGGCTTTGGGCTTTGGGCTTCGGGCATCGAAAATTCCAGAAATGGGTCTTGCGTTGTTGCCTAGGGGCTGTTTGGGATTTTACAAGAAAGCCTGAACCCTAAACCCATACATGGACACTTACCTAGACCCCCAACTACCTTCTGATATACCCCAAAGATGGGAGTTTCCGAAAACAGGGGACCCTAATACAACACCCTGAATAGTAGGTTCCTTATTATAAGGACCCCAATACCCTAATTCGGAAACTCCCATGTGGCTATGGTACCCAAACCTACTACTACTGGGGCACTTGGGCCTTTGGGGCAAGCGGGATGCCTGTGGAAACACGAACGAACGACAAGAACAAAAGAGAACCCGACTCGGAACCATGTGTGCACCGCGTGTGACATGCAGACAGATCATGCACAGCAAGCTTGACACCGTGCCGTACCAAAAGACCCCAAAACCCTGGGAAGATAACGGATCCCTGGAATAAGGCCTCTAGCGATTCACTCCGGCATCCACCTTTATCCCAACTTTGGTCCCATTTGATAAACAGCTTTCCCGAAACTCTCCTCCAGTCATTCACCCTAGAGAAATGCTGCCTCATAACACCAACAACAAGGATTCAACAAAGACATGATGCAGTACAAACCGCGTTAAAAGCTTACATCCTTGCGGAATTGGCTGCTTAGGCTTTAGGGTTGGTAAATCTAGATTGGCTGATGGTTCATGAGCATGTTCCAACCAAGGTTGATGCTAGATTTATGCCACATTGCAGTCTTAGGGATTCGGGGTTTCTGGGCCAACCGCAAAACCCTAAACGAAGACACCCTAAACCCCTTGTGCAATGTGCTTTGGGCCTTCGGGCCCAGACATTGGTTGAGATTGAGGACTGTGAAAACAGAACCCTAAAAAAATCTGCCAGAATCCATATTCTCTAGGGTTCCTTATTGTAAGAATGCAGTAATACCGTATTCCTCGAAGCTAATTAAGAGATTTGTTGGCCAGATTGGCCCAACCAGCCCATAAGGTTCTTCCCATGTCTTTATCACGTCTTCTTTTTGGTTTATATGTTTTTGTCATTCTTTATCAGTGCCGTCCATCCTCGATCAGTAGCTTGAGGGTCGGATGAGCGGGGCATAGGATGCACTGGAGACTGTCCTTCGAAAAAATGATAAACAAGCCTATATATGGGAATTTCCGAAAACAAGGGGTACCTTATTTGGGGGTCCTTATGATAAGGAGCCTACTATTCAGGGTGCTATATTAGGGTCCCCTGTTTTCGGAAACTCCCATATTCATGTCCCCAGTGCCTACAGGAAAAGTTCTCTTAACCTAAGGGGTTCCTTACATGTAGGATAATTTACGCCAACACCCTGTTCTCATTACCGAGGCCCTTCCACAAAACCCCCCCTTGACATCCCCTATACTATGCCTTACAGAACCCTTCCGAAGAAAACCCTACCATGGAGGGCCCTATACAGAACCCCCGTATACCCGCTATACTATCGCTTCCAGCCTAAATCCTTAACCCTTCATAGACCCTTCAACACCAAGCCTTAAACTCCAAAATCCAAAACCCCTAAACCCGTAAACTACTAAACCCTAAACCATCCTAAACCCCTTAACCCGTAAACCGCGAGACCCTAAACCCTAAACCCCCTTTAAAGGAAGCCTATAGATCCCTTTAAAGAGTCCTGCAAGCATTCTGGAAGGCTTAGACTCTTCTGAACCGGCTTCAACGGATACTCATCACGAGCATGCAGAAGAGAATAGATTTAGGGGTTCAGGGGTTTAGGGTTTAGGGGCAACTGGCCTGTTTTCCTAGAGACTCGGAGATAAGCTGTCCTGTACTGTGCTCCGAGCAACGCGCCCAGAAAGACTTCAAACACTATGCACTGCTACCGCCAGGTCCTACGCTTCCCCGTCGAGCAACGTGCCCGGAAAGATTTCAAACACGATTCATTGTTATTGTCACCACCGAGATGGTAGCAACAATTGATCCACGACTCCGATTGCAGGACTATACACGGAGTGCCTGCGCAAAACGGCCGGGAGGGGCCCAAGAACTGGCAAGGGTATGCGTCATTATCAAGTCCCCAGAGACTCCAATATCTCTTGATTAAGGAATATTCCTTAAATTATGGTAGGATCCCGTATATGATTTAAGGAATATTCATGAATATTCCTTAACTAAGGGATATTGGAGTCTCTGGAGCCACCGTTGGGTGGGTGAGTGAAGGATTTTGAATCTCGCTCTCTCTGAGCCACACACAGCTCTGCTCACATGGAGATTCCTGATGCTTCGATACAGGGGCCTGAATAATTCGAGTAGGGTTTTGCTATAAGAAGCCTAAAAAGCATAATACAGGGGCCTGAATAATTAGAATAGGGTTTTGGGGCATATTGTACTATAACTATAATAAGAAACCCCAAAATAGTATTGGTAAGCGCCGCTTGTAGTTTGGATCTGTTACGCATTCTTCAACTGATCCTGCACAGCACTGCTGTCACCGCCACTCTCAGCACCACCCCAGGTCACGACTGATCCATCACAAAGAATGGCAGCAAAAGCGCTGTCAGTGGCTTGAATCTGCTGCACATTCTTCAGCAGGCCCTGCACACCGTAGCTGTCACCGCCAAAGCCGGCATTTCCCCAAGTCACGACCGATCCATCGCCGAGAATTGCAGCAAATGCACCCTTAGAGACTTGCATCTGCTGCACGTTCTTCAGCTGAGCCTGCACAGCACTGCTGTCACCACCAAACTGAGCATCACCCCAGGTCACAACGGATCCATCACCCAGAATGGCAGCAAACGCACCCTTAGAGGCTTGGATATGCTGCACATTCTTCAGCTGATCCTGCACAGCACTACTGTCACCACCATCCTCAGCATCACCCCAGGTCACGACGGATCCGTCGTGACGAATGGCAGCAAAGGCGCAACTCGTGGCTTGGATCTGCCGCACATTCCTCAGCTGATCCTGGACAGTGCTGCTGTCACCACCGTGTAGAACCCTACCCCATGTCACGACGGATCCGTCGTGACGAATGGCGGCAAATGCTCGCTCAGAGGCTTGGATCTGCTGCACATTCTTCAGCTGATGCTGCAGAGCACTACTGTCACCACCATCCTCAGCATCACCCCAGGTCACGACGGATCCTTCGTGACGAATGGCAGCAAGGGCGAAAGGATTGGCTTGGATCTGGCGGACATTCCTCAGCTGATCCTGCAGGCGGTCAACGGCAGCAAAAGCTATAAAACTATTAGGGTCAGGCGAGGTTGCTCGGATCTGCTGCACATGAAAAAACCGATCCAGCCGATCCTGCGCAGCACGATCGTCACCGAAACCCCAGGTCACCTCACCGAAACCCCAGGTCACCACGGATCCATCGCCGAGGAGAGCGGCAAAAGTGCCGAAAGCTGTCAGCACTTGCCGCACATTCTTCAGCTGATCCTGCACAGCACTACTGTCACCACCATAGTCAGGATCGCCCCAAGTCACGACGGATCCATCGCCAAGAATGGCTGCAAATGCAGCCTCAGTGGCTTCGACTTGTACTTTGCTGATATGTAAGACCAACGAGTCACCATTCTGCAGTCGAGCTTGCTTGATTGATGCGGAAACATCCAGAAAGATTCCGGAGGAATCCAGGAGCCGCCCTCGTCCGACCCCGAGTGCAGTCTGTGCTCTAAGTTTAAGAGCTCTCACTTCTTCATCCAAGCCGGCTTTCACGGTAGCAGTCTTTCCGCTGAGCAGTCCAACTGCCACAGCAATGGCCATGTTGTCGACGAACGTTTTCCTAAGCGCCACAATCCTCCATTGAACGCCTTCGTGCAGGCGGACATGGCAGTGATCCTTGATTGAACTACGGCTTAGGTTTTAGGATTTTTCCTTGGCTTAAGGCTTCGGTTCCTATGCGATCTGTAATTCTGTTTTATGGTCCTGCAGCAAAAACGCCCTGAACAAAGCCTGAATCCCTAAACCTCTAAGCCCTACACCCCATATACTCCCTGTTGCAACCCTTAAACAGATAAACCCGCATTGTAGAACCCTCACAAGAACCCTTGAAGAAACCCTACATCCCATTCACGCCAATGCAAACCGAAGCAGTGCCTTACCTTCGAAGCGACAGTGCGTTTTGAGGTTAGGGTAAGTATGTGGGTGGTTGTCAACATGATGGTCCATTCGTGGGTACCCTAAATATTAGGTGCCGTACTATAATAGGGATCCAAAAGGGACCCTAATTTTGACAACCACCCATGTGGTTTACAGGTTCCTTTAAAGGTTCTATGAGGGTTCAAGACTAGAGCTTCGGGTGTGGGGTCGAGGCTTGCGTCTAGGGTTTAGGGTTTAGGATTTCTTTTGATGGGTTTGAGGCTTCGTGTCGAGGGTGGTAGGGCTGAGGGAGTTTAGGGCTTACCTTGAGCTACAATAACCGACTTTTTTGTAGGTTCTGATCTGACACCCTGACATTATGAAAGTTACAGGCAGCCTACAAAAGGGGTAGGTTCGATAGGTCAAGGTAAGGCTTAAGAGGTTTAAGGTTTGAGGTGTAGGCTCAAGATTAACTTCTGACCAGGCGAGCCTCACACACTGGTCTTGTGGGTTTAGGGTGTACGGTTTGCGGTTTGGGGCTTGGGGTTGAGGGTTTCGGTTTCAGGGTTTAGTATTGGCGTACGACTCATGCTGTTCTGAATACTCATAGCACCTTCAGAACACACCGCGGAAGCCTTCTCGGTCCGCTCGGACCTTTCTGAAACCTTTTCCAGACCCGCATAGAACAATTAAAACAGCCTTGTGGAACCCAAAACAAACTGTTATAACATCCTTGTCAGGCCATATAAAATCCCACTGAAGCTAGATCCCAACCCTAAACCCTAAACCCCTGGGTCACTGAGGGTGGTGCAAGGACACTGCAAAGAGACCACGCCGGCGGTACCTCGGTGAGAAGCTTGAGACTTCGGTAAGGGTTTCCGGCGTGAGCAGTAAGGTTCTGCGGGCAGAGGGTTCAGGGTGCAATAAGGGCACCTTCATGATTAGCCTCGGATTTCGGGGGTTGCACAGAGACTTATAAGCCATGGCAACTACAGGCTTGACAATGACTTTTGAACGCGCACGGTTTAGGCGCTTACGGCTAGGCTTTAGAGGCTTACTTGGAGGTTCATGGGACGCAGTAAGTACAGTTATAAGTACCTTAACTGGGGTTATAACCATTTATAAGTATAGTTACCTTGTTTATAACCCTAATTACTACGTCCCATGATCCTTTAAGTAGACCCTAAACCCTAAACCCTATAGATCCCTTTAAGGAACCCCTATAGATCCCTTTAAGGAACCCCTATAACCTTAAGTAGGGTCAACCCACTACTTCACCCCTGCAGCCCTCTCAAACCAGGTTAAGCCCTTCTTCAAAACCTAGGGGGTTTAGGGATCCTTTAAAGGGTACTATAAGGGTTCCTTTAAGGGATCTATAGGGGTTTAGGGTTTAGGGACCTAAGAGTAACCTAGGAATAAAAAGGGTGCCCTTTTTGGTTTCAAGGGACTTAAAAGGGCACCTGAACCCCAAAAAAGGGAATAAGGGCCTACTCTAGGTCCTAGAAACCCTTGTAGAATCTCAGAACTCCCAGACCCTGAAGCAGAAAAACTTCCCAGAGACGCCAATACCCCTTTATAAAGGAATAGACCTGAAATCATATTCGGGATCCTACTCTAACTTAAGGTATATTCCTGAATAAGGTATATTGGGGCCCCCTAAACCCTAAACCTTACAGCTCCCATATAGATCCCTTTAAAGGAGCCCTTGTAGATCCCTTTCAAGGAACCCTTATAGATCCCTAGACCACACATGCGGCTCATGGTCCACTTCACTGCCGAGGCCAGGACAGGGCCCAGCTGGAAAAGAGCGACATGGTGACCTTTCGGGCTACGGTTTAGGGTTTAGGGTACAGGATTTAGTTTTTAGGCTGTAGGGGCCTTCAGAATCAAAATAGGGTTTAAGGTTAAATATCCTATAACGATAAGAAGGTTCCAACAGGAATAGTCTTACTTGGCGGATCATGGGATTATCACCCTAACTATAACCCCAGCTACTAGGTCTCCTGCCCTCCATAAACCGTGTAAGGAACCCTTGAAGGGAACTCTTTCAAGGAGCCATTTCTCTCTTCTTCAACAACCGGGCCCCAAAAAGTTCAAACTTTCTAAGATAGAGCTAATATATAAGGCCAAAAAGTTTAAGGTTCCCCCGTTCACTATCTAAGATATAACGAGCCCTTCAAGGCAACCTTGAAGGCACACGCCATCCTTAAGCTCGAGACATAGAGCAAAACGGGTGCGAACGCCTGAAGGCCGACGTGATTTCACGAGGTACCCTGGGTTGAGCGAGTACATGGGTGGTTGTCGAAATTATGATCCCTTTTTGGGTACCTTAAATATTGGGTGCCGTACTCTGTTAGGGACCCAAAAAGGGACCATAATTTTGACAACTACCCACATGATTTAAAGTTTAGGATATAGGCTTTACCGGCTTATATAGGGTTTTAGAGCTTTAGGGGTGTAGGGTCTAGTGTCTAGGGCTGAGGGCTGAGGGTCTCGTGTGTAGGTCTTGCTACAAGGCTCAAAAAAAATGACGCTGCCACGGGGAAGTGGACGGCACACAGTGCATTGGAGTTCGACAAAGCAAAAAGCTGAACGATCAAGCTTCCGAGGTACTAGGGTGAACCCTCCACAAACGATTTTTGGTGCTACGGTTTTCCCTATCAAAATAAAGGTTTGAATAGCTGGTGGCAATGACTAAACCTTTCTAGTTCATATAAAGCTCTATGGTTATAGCCCCGCCAACCCTATTCTAGTTGCTAAGGCCCTCATGATACCTCTTATAGCAACACAAAGTTGTAGGAATCCGCACAGCAACCCTTTAGAAAACCCCTAAACCCACACCTCAAACCCTAAACCCTACAAGGAACCCCGTTTTACCTGTTCAGGCCGCTATGTTCGGCTCCTTTCGGTGCTTGGCAGCTCGAAGTCAAGGTTTGCTGGTGTAGTTGGGGCTATAAACAGTTTGGGATGTACGGGTCAAAAGGTTCTCCATGGGTTCTATGAGGGTTCGGGGTCCAGAGTTTAGAGGCCCAATGTTTAGGGGTTTCGAGTCTAGGGCTAGGATTTGGCGGTTTGTTTAAGGGTTTTGAAAATCAGGGTTCAGGGATGTAAGTTCTCAGGTGCGAAGACTCGGAGTGATGAACGTGTTTGCCCAACAGCCCACAAACTTGAAGAAACTTGACACGTGGTAACAAAAAAGAGCGTTAAGAAACCCGACACATGGTGGCACTTCCGCGCGACCGGGTCAAGGAAAGAGTCTGACGGAGGCTCGCAGCAGTACTCCTCATGCTTGTGTATGTTCTGGGGTTTAGGGTTTGGGGTAAAGCCGAAAGCTAATCAATAGCTCAGTTGTTCCCACGTAGTTGGCCAGGATTTCTGCCACATCCTTACCTTGGGATATTAGGGGATGGAGGAATGGGGTACAGTTATAACTACTATTACTACCATTCTTCCATTCCTACTAACCAAAGGTAAGCATCTCAGGTAAGGACACCCGAGAGCCCACTTATGAGCACGCCCGTCAGCGCTTCGCAGCCCGACCTGGGGCGCTGCAGGGGTCGGAATATGAGTAATGCTATTGGTTAGAGGGCTCCTGATGTATGAAGAAGTATAATATTATGTGTACTTCTAGTGCTGAAAGGGCTGCTAATTATTGAAAAGTATAGAATCAAGTCACTCCGGAGAAGCCTTTGGGCCAAAGGTTGAGCGTAGAGGACTTGGAACTGGCTTAGATATGGGTGGTTGTCAAAATTAGGGTCCCTTTTTGGGTACCCTAAATAATAAGTGCCGTATTATAATAGGGACCCAAAAAGGGACCCTAATTTTGACAACCACCCTTTGAGGCTCCTTCCGGCCAAGCCGAAAAAGTCCCCCCAACCCTGATGACAACTTGTCATAACCAAGATCGCCGTCATCAAAATCATCGCCAACATCATCACTACCATCATCGTCGTCATGGTCATCATCATCAACATGATAATCATATTCCTCTTCATCATCCTTGTCATTTTCTGCACCAGTTTTGACCGGTGCCATGCTTTTGCATGTGGGGGAAGATAATGGTGCAGCGCACGTGAAGACGATAGCGATCTGAACCATGATGAAGATGATGACGGTGATGACGACAATCATGATCCTGCTTAGACCATGGTGATGTTGCTGCAAATGATGATCAGGGTCATGGATGAGGGTTTTGATGATGGTGGTGGTGATGTCGATGGCAATGCACGAAAACGTTGCTTGCCATGTCCGTGAGCTTGAATCAGAGTTTGCCAGGAAGGACAAGATTTTGAAAACAGTCCGACGACGGCTGCATGAGGTCTATCTAAGCGTGCAGTATGGCTATAAAGTCCATTTGAAGCAAAAAGCTCAATTCTGATCTCCCCCATACCCGGCCTCACGTCGGAGCAGATGCGGATGTCGGGATCCTCGATGCGAGCGGATCCGTGCTGCGACAGCTTGTAGTAGTTCCTCGGAGGGCCCTAAACCCCAAACCCCAAACCCTAAACCCTAAACCCTAAGCCCTAAGCCCTAAGCCCTAAGCCCTAAACCTTAAACCTAAACCCCCTAAACCTTAACCGTCGCAGGGAAAAGCAACCCCAAAGCCGCTACAGGGGTTTAGAGCCTTGGGCTTCCGGGCCCTACTTAAAGGATCATGGGACTCAGTAAGTAAGGTTCTAAGTACCTTAATTGGGGTTATAAGATACAAGTCATTGTAAGTATGGTCACCATATTTATAACCCCAGTTACTAAGTCCCATGATCATTTCGGTAGCTTTAAGGCTTTAAGGTCTCTAGACAAACCTTAAACCCTTAGCCAGAAACATCGCTAAACCCCATGCCCTTGGAGGAGGCTCCCGCACTATCGACGAGGAGATCGAGAACGAGCACGTACTTGGCGATCGGTTCGGATCAAGTTTTGGGGTTTCTGGCACCCCGCCTGTCTCAGACTCCTTCTCTGGCACCACCGCGTCCTCCTCCCCACCCTTTTCCTGCTCGCTCTCTTCCTGGTCCTGAACACACCGAGCCGGAAACATAACGGGACCCCCCGACTTTCGCCTCCGTCACCAGCTCCAGCAACTGCGGCGCTGGATGATGGCACTCGCCGCAGCCTTGCAAGCTACCAAGATAGTTTCGGATGTGGGTGGGTTCGGCAAACCAGGGTTGAAAAACTGCTCCCATTGAGCTCGACCGCACAGAGTTTGAGGTTGTAGCCATCCATGCGCATGGTGCTGTCATAGGCAGATGCCCGACGCTTCTTCTGGCCTCTTTGGGCTTTTCGAGCTCGGCGTTGAAACCCGCAGCACAAGATGAAGTCGTGTTAGGAAGGCTCCAGTTAAGGGCTTAGGGTTTAGAACCCAAAGACTCCGATGTCCCCTAATTCGCCTCGGCCCCGGCCGAAACGGTCAGCAGTACAGTACAGATGTGACTACCAGGACACAGTAGCTCCAACACGTCGATCCTGAACCACATCCGTGCCCCTTTCCGCCCCTCCCCCTTCCCCCCCCCTGCCCCCTCGCCCCCCCTCCGCCCTCAACCCTGCAGCGCAAGCTCCATGCGCTGCTGCTACGACTTGTACAAGGCTCAGAAACTGAAGCTTGCGAGCTGTCGGCCACAAAACTTACAGGTTCGGAAATTTGGTGTTGAAGGTTTTTGGCAGCAGAGTGCAGGGTTCCACGAGTTAACCCTTTGGCGGATTGCATCGGAGATGCAAGCATCGCTATCGCCCAGCTAGGGGCCATGTCGAATATCAAGCACAGGATTCGGAGATGCAACAATTTCCACATCAATCGCATAACTACTCTCTAAATCAGGCTCCTGTTCTGCCCTGCCTGGCCTGTCCCCTGTCCCCTGTCCCCTGTCCCCTGTCCTCTGTCCCTTGTCCCCTGTCCCCTGTCCTGTCCCCTCCCCTGTCCCCTGTCCCCCGTCCCCTGTCCCCTGCCCTGCTGCCCTGCCACTTCACAGAGCGCTTGCTTCCGTCACGGCCGGGCCGAGGCGGACGACGCGAAGCGTTTAAAATTAAGGAATGAATGTACCTTAAATAATATTCAGGAACCTACGATAATTTGGGGTAAATAAGCAAAGTAAGTGATATTGGAGTCTCTGGAAATGGGGGTCGAAGGTTTAAGGGTTTAGCAAGCCGAAACCCAAGAAGCCCTCAAGAACTTTGTTTTGGGGTTTGGACTTAAGTCGAAGCCCTCAAAACCGTGTACCCCGAATCGCTGGAGACAGCTGAACCCCATAACATCAACGACCTGAACGCTAAACCCCCTTGAAGGAAACCCTATAGATCCCTTTAAAGGAACCCTAAGACCCTCTATAGATCCCTTGAAAGGGGCCCTAAACCCCCCTAACCCCAGTACCAGTGACTCTGCACCCATTCAATTTCTCGGCCTCGAAGACTTTGTACGCAAAGCTTCGACCCTTTGAAATGGAACCCGAAACCCCAGAACCTGTACTGCAAACCCAATACTCTAAACCCTAAACACTCTACTCCAAAGCCTAAACTCTCAACCCTAAACCCTAAACCCTCACCCCTAAACCCCTAAACCCTAAACCCTCAACTCTAAACCCTAAACCCTCAACCCTAAACCCTAAACCCTCAACTCTAAGCCCTAAATTCTCAACCCTAAACCCTCAACTCTAGACCCTAAACCCTCAAAATAACTTCGGAGCCACGAAACTCCAATGTTGGGATTCGCACACTGTTGTGGACAAGACCGGGTAAAGTCTGGAACGTTAGAGTAGGGTTTAGCGTTCCTTTAAAGGGGTTCCCATAAGGGCTACTATAAGGGTTCTATAGTAGGGTTTAGGACCTAAGGTTTATCTAGAAACCTTAAGGCATTAAAGCTACTTCAAGGATCATGGGACTTAGTAACTGGGGTTATAAACAAGGTAACCATGCTTTTGATTACTTACAACCACAACTAAGGTACTTATAACCTTACTTACTAAGTCCCATGATCCTCCAAGTAGGTCTTATGGGGAGTTCGGCGCGGGGTTTGGAGGCATGTGGGAATCTGAACGGACTTGGCGATTTAGCCAGAGTAATGGCGTCGGCGCTTACTTAGGCTTTAGAGTTTGAGCTTGCAGCGCTTTAGGGTTTGGGGTGTGAGGGTTTCTGGCATTCAAGGCGGGGAATGCTCAATCTAAACCCTAAACCATAGGGTTTAGGGTTTAGGGTTTAGGGTTTAGGGTTTAGGGTTTCAATCTAAACCCCAAATCCCGGAATCCTAGACCCCAATCTCAAAAAGCCCAAACACCCAGCTCACAATCCTGCACACGCAGGACGAAACATCAAAGCAACGACCCCAATTCGGGGGGCTGATTCTCAAAATCCAGCATCCCCATCTATACTGAACTTAGAACCCTAGCAAAAATTATAATTTTTGCTGATTCTTAGGGGTTATGATAACCAAAGACTAAAAAACTTCTAAGTATCCCTGAGCTATGGCCAGGAAGCGCCGGAACCCAGAGCTGAGAGCGGCGCATGTCGGAAAAGTAGCTCCGCCTGGGCTGCTTAGACAGAGCGAGGGACTTGCAAAACCCTAAAACCCTAAACCCCTAAACCCCAAACCCCTAAACCCTAAACCCCCTAACCCCTAAACCCCCAACCCCTAACCCCTAAACCCCCAAACCCTAACCCCTAAACCTTAAACCCTAAACCCCCAAACCCTCAGCCCTATACCCTAAACCCTAAACCTAGGGTTTAGGGCCCCTGGGGTTTAGGGTTTAAGCTCGAACCACCCTCCATCCCAAATAAAGGGGTTCAGGCTCGTGGTTAGCCCTACTTGAATGACGAGCTGCGGCTGCAGAATCTTGAAATGTCGATTTCTGAGCCGCTGGCTGAAGAAGGCTGAAGTTCAAGTGCCCGAGCTAACTTATGCTAAAATCCTTTAGCATTGCATTCCAGGCTTCGTTTAAGGCTTCCGTTAAGGCTACTCTAGGGTCTTCTTAATGATGCAGGGCTTCAGAATTGTTAGGGGTTTAGGGTTGAGGGGTTTCGGGGTTTAGTGGTTTAGGGGTTAGGGGTTTAGGGTTTAGGGTTTTCAGGGCTTTAGGAGTTGAGGCTTTACGGCTTTGGGGGCTTACGGCTTAGTATTCAATGCGAAGAGTTAGGGTTGAAGGTTCTGGATGCAGGTGCTTGTCAAAATTATGGTACCTTTTTGGGGGTCCCTAATACGGTTTAGGGTTTAGGGTTTAGGGTTTAGGGTTTAGGGGGGTTTAGGGTTTAGGGTTTAGGGCTTAGGGTTTAGGGGGTCCCTAATACAGTACGGCACCGTATATTTAGGGTACCCAGAAAGTGACCATAATTTTGACAACCACCCATGCAGCATCAGGATCCAACAATCATTGCATGAACATCACTGAGACACAGCAACCTCAGGGTGGAACATGGGACTTAGTAAGTAAGGTTATAAGTACCATAATTGGGGTTAGAAGTAGTCATAAGCATGGTTACCTTGTTTCTAACCCCAGCTACTAAGTCCCATGATCCTTCAAGTAGGGTGGAACCCATACCCTCAAACATCAGGGGCCTGGGTGGTTGGAAGAGGGCACAGGGGCATACGATAGTATAATCATGTCAGGGAAGATTCAAGATTCTAGATGTGTGGTTCGCCATTATAGATTACTCTAATTTCAAGAACTAACCACGTAACACCAAGCTTCTACAACACCCTAAACCCTAATGCCTGCACCGATTCTAAACGGGACCCTGATTTAGGGAACTACCCATGTAGCACCAAGCTTCTACGATACCCTAACTCCTAAACCTTCATCCCTGCACGGATTCTATATAACCTTAAAAACCCTCAACTTGTCAACCCTAAACCCTCAACCCTAAAAACCGTCAAGCAAGCTCTGAACTCTCGATGATTCCTTGCGAACTGCCGAGCCGAGAAGCAGAAGCCGGCGTGTCGCCGTCCGCCGCCAAAGTATCCCGACACGGGCCTGAAGCAGAACTCCTTAAGGTTGAAGATAGAGGCCTTAATAATTACCCTGAAGCAAAACTCGCTAGGGTTTGGGCTTTGGGATTTACATGATTTAGGGTTTCGGGTTTAGGGCTTTGGCTGATTTAGCGGGGCCTCAATATGTAAGTAGAATAGGCTTTTGATGACCATTATACTCTAGTTATAATAAAGAAGCCCTTTTGGATTTAGGCTGATTTTAGGGTTTGGGCTGTAGGCTTTCGATTTAAGGCCATTTAGGCTTGAGGGATACACTTCCTTTGTGCGGCACCCCCAAGTCAGAGATTTACTCGAAATCACAGCGAAGATCCCTTCCCGTCCTAAACCTTGGACCCCACACGGAAAGACCCGCCTTGAAGACAGCCCACGCTCCCCTGCTGCGCTCACTGACGAACCGACGCACCTGACGCACCTCGCCGTTGCCCGGGTCAAAAGCTCTGCGCAGCATGGTCCAGTTGACCGCATGTAGGTCAGCACGAAAAACGTGCAGCCGCTCTAAAATGCCGACGGAACTCGCGCCAGCTGCTCTGAAGACACACGTCGCACCTCTGGCATTGTGCGCCACAACCTCGGCATGAGGCGACGTTTCAAACGCTCGAAGTCCCTGCCTGATCCGAACGGCATGTGCAAAGGAGTCGCGCCAGCACGTCGCTGTCTTGAGCTGGACTTAGATGCTCGCAGCCTATAGGATTAGGGGTGTGGAAACTAGGGTCCCCCGAGCCCTCTACCTCAAAACCCCAACCCCCAAGACCCTAAACCCTAAACCGTGGGAAATACGGTGGATGATATAAATCCTGCACTACCCTTAATAAGGAATATACCATAATTCCCATAGTTTTAGGGTCCTTAAGATAATGCAGGATTTATATCATCAACCGTAGGACTCCTGGTTTGGAACTCGGGCTGAGACTGCGCAGGGTTTACCTTTAAACGGGCTCGCAGGACCCTCAATCATGGGTATAGGGTTCGTTGGGTCAACGCGGCCTTCGTTCAAACGGAAAAGCGGGCAGACACGTGTCATAGCACCTCCAAACACAAGTCAAGAGGCAGTAGACCAAATTTTTCGGACGAAGCATGCAATTCCCACTTCATCTTCTCAGAAAACAAGAGCTATACAGGACGAAACCCCCGGAAACCCTGAGAATCCTTTTTTTGCGGGGTTCTCAAGTCCCAAAAAAACATGGCTTTTGCCCAAATTCTCAAACCCTGAACCCAGCCTAAACCTAAACCTAAACTAACCCTAAATCCAAGCCCTTAGACCCTAAAACCCCTAAACCCTCACACCCCTAAACCCCTGCAATCCCTAAACCCCTTAGCCCCAAACCTAAACCCTACACCCGCAAACCCGTAAACCGCTAAACCCTAAAGCCTCAAACACCTACTCCCCTAAGCCCTAAAGTTTAAGGCCTAAACCAAAACCCTACGCCCAAGACCTTTGTCTGCAGCTCTGCCGACACAACTAACCACGCTGCTGTAGGTAGGCTTGAGGTTACTTTGAAGGTTTCCTTCAAGGGATCTATAAGGGCTCTAAAACAGGTTGTATTTGGGTTCTTTCAAGGTTCTTGGGCTCTGTAAGGGTTTAGGGGTCCAGAGCATTAGGGTTTAGAGTTTATATAGGAGTTGAAAACCCTCAAGCCCAGATTTTGGGCTTGAGGGTTTGAGAGTTTGGGGCTCAGGGCTCATCGAAGTACATGGGAGGTTGTCAAAATTAGGTCCCTTTTTGGGTCCTTAACATAATACGGCACCTAATATTTAGGGTACCCAAAAAGGGACCTTCATTTTGACTACTACCCAGATGGTTCAGGGCTTCAGGGTTCAAGATTTCAGGGTGTTGGGGCTCCCTAAACCCTGCCTTAACCCTGGATAGCCTACCTTTTTAGGGTTCCTTATTCTGATATTGCATTCGGAAATAGGGGACCCTAATAATTAATATAGTACCCTAAATAGTAGGATCCTTATTAAAAGGATCCCAGAAGAAGGTACCCTTAATTCTCGGAAACTCCCATATAAGTCCTTAAAAAGATTTCCTTTGCCTGCATGTACTTTGTCGTCTGGGACAGGAGGGCGCTGGCCAGGATCGCGAAGGGAAACTTCGCCAGGGCTTTTAGCCACCTCCCAGCATCAAGGTTTAGGGTTTAGGGTTCAGGGTTTAGGGTTTAGGGTGTAGGGTTTAGGGTGTAGGGTTTAGGGTTCAGGGTTTAGGGTTTAGAGTTCAGGGTTTAGGGTTCAGGGTTTAGGGTTTAGAGTTCAGGGTTTAGGGTTCAGGGTTTAGGGTTCATGGTTTAGGGCTAAGGTTTTAGGGTTTAGGGTGTGTCTGGCGAGGGGCTCGCGTTGCTAGTAAACCCACCCCGGCCACGCAAACTATACTCTAAGAGGGCTTCGGATTTTTTTGCGTATTTTCTGTCGCATTATTTCTATTCTGGAGCGATTTAAGATGTACTTACATTTCTGGCTCCTGGTGGTCCTAGGCCTTTCGAAAGTGATCAATTCAAGCAGGTTCGGGTTTGGCGTGGGCTGCGGCTGGGAATAGCCTCGGCCCTTTTCGGGCCTCCGGCATGGCACGGCCTGCTCGGCCCTTCAAACTTCCCGTTTGAATGAATGTTCCTCCTGAGCTCTAGAAACGTGCGGAAATAGAATTCCCCTAAACCCTAAACCCTAAACCCCCTAAACCCCCTAAACCCCCTAAACCCCCTAAACCCTAAATTTTAGCAGACCTCGGCATGGGCACTCGGCACAACAAAAAGGCATGTTTATAAGCTGGGCATGATAAGCCAAGACCAACCCCAACTTTCCGATTCCTGAACCCTAAAACCCTAAATCCTAAACCCTAAACCCCCAATTCCTAAAATCCTAAATCCGAAAATCCTAAATCCTAAACCTTAGAATCCTAAATCCTAAAATCCTAAATCCGAAACCCTAAAATCCTAAATCCGAAAATCCTAAATCCTAAAATCCTACATCCTAAAGTTTAAGTCTTTTTGTAAAGGACCGCTGAACCCTGAATCTTAAAACCCTACCTAAATCGCAAAATACTACACCCAAAGCCCTAAATCCCTAAATCTTGAAATCCTAAATCCTAAACGACCTCCAGGGGCGATGGTTCACGGGTTCACGGTTTAGGATTATACTTTAGCTACGCTAAAGGTTGTCTGGAGTCAGCGACCCCTCTCTTAGTTTAGGGTTCAGGGTTTAGGTTTCAGGGTTTAGGGTTTGGGATTTAGTGTTCAGGGTTTGGGTTCAGGGTTTAGGGTTTAGGCCTTGGGGCTTGCTTAAAGGATCATGGGACTTAGGTAACTAAGGTTATAAAAAGGGTAGCCATACTTGTAATTACCTACAACACCACTTAAGGTAGTCATATCCTTACTTAAGTCCCATGAGCCTTAAAACCCGAAACCTTTGCACATCCCTCATTGGAACCCTATTATCGAACCCTATAGCATCCTTGAACGGAATCTTCAACCCAAGTGCCATGATCCTCCGAGGCATGTTCAGTGATGGAGATGTGGAGTTGTGCCCTTGCTCCAGTTTGAGTTTAGGCTTTGGGGTTTGGGGTTTGGGTTTAGGGTTTCGGGTTTGGGGTTTACAGATAACTTCTTTCTCGACATGGGTGCTTAGACTAGGGTTCCTGTCAAGGCCTCCTTCAAGGACCTCTGTAAGGACTACTGTAACAGGGTTTAGTACAGGGGCTCTAATATTCAGAACGAGGTTTTGGGGAAATGCAGTAAGGAACTCTAAGTACTGGTAGCTCTGCTGGCTTCCACGTTATGCCCCTGACACCCCTCAAGACGACCAAGTGCTGCTTGCTTTGAGAAACCCGGCAAATTCCGGCCCCCAAACCCAAACCGTAGATCTTAAAGCCTACCTACCTCTTATGGACTTATATAAGAGTATCATGATAAGCATCACAAAAAAGCTAGGTTGCTAGGGTCCAAGTTAGCCATGCCTTCGCCAATGTCCCAGATTCTGGCCAATGACAAACTCGCGCATTAGCCAGGCCTGTGCGCGAGGGATTAGACCGGACAGGCCGGCAACACCAACAAGCCCGAGTCCAATTGGGACACCTTATTTTTTGACAATCTTGCAAGAAGGATCCTTCTAACCATCTCTCGTCCGTATTCGGAAACAGGCCAGAACATTCTGCTGAAGCGTAGACTGCCGTGTGGTCACATCACCAGACCGTTAGTTAGGAGACACATACACACATGTTTCTGTCTATCGGTGTATGTGCGTGCGTTCGTAGTTCTGTTTCCCAAACAAATCGCTCATCCTGCCATCTTCCCCTTCCCTGTCAGGCAGACCCATCGGGGAAAGGATGGTAGCAAAATCCTCCTTGTCCGGCTTGATCTGTGGCACGCCCCCGGTCGCGGAGCACGGGCTTGCAATGGCATACAAGTACTTGCAAGCATCTGACATCCTAAAGTTGGTGGAAAAGACCGTTGCCTTCCTGTGAAGGAAAGCGAAGCAATTCTCCAGAGCATCCTTCGTTGAAGGAGTACCTTGATATAGTCGCCGTGCCAGCTGCAACAGCGACCTGGTCTCGCCTTGCAAAACAAGCTCCATGGCTTCTCGAGCCAGCGGCTGTCCATTCCACAGGTCCACCTTCAAGGAACCAGCAAGCTTTTTGAAAAGTTTCATTTGTAGTAGGGACCCCTCTTCGTCCGGATGATGTGTGTCATCGCAGAAGCCTGCATCCCAAAAGCCCAGGTTAGAGTTTAAGGTTTAGGGTCTAGGGCTCTCATATAAGGGCCTGGATGACTATTGCCTGTACGAGTGTGGCATCATAACCTTAAATAATCCTGAAAGTTACATGAACCAAACCCCCAAAACCCCAAACCCTAAACTCTAATCCCTGAACCCTAATCCCTAATGCCTAAACCCTAATGCCTGAACCCTAAACCCTCAACCCTAGACCCTCTCCCTCGTCTTAAACCCTAACTAAACCCCTAAACCCCCAAACGTCTTCAACCCTAAGAACCCCAGAGCCCCAATCCCTAAACCCCTAAACCCTAGTCTCCCTCGTCTTCAACCCTAATCCCTAAACCCTACGGTTTAGGGTTTAGGGTTTAGGGTTTAGGGTCTAGGGTTTAGGGTTTAGGGTTTAGGGTTTATCCCCAAACCCTAGACCCCTAAACCCCTAAGCCCCCAAACCCTAATCCCTAAACCCCAAGTCCCTAAACTCAAACCATCAAGCCCCCAAAACCCTGGTCTTCAACCCTGACGGTGGCAGTTAGAATTAGGGGGACCCTTGGGGATATAGGCCCTCTCAATGACGCCCCTTTTGAGAGAGCCAGAAGTGGTCCCCATTAAGGGCCCCTCCTTTTCCCCTTGGCACCTTGTAGACCCCCCAAACCCCAAACCCCTAAAACCCTAATCCCTAAACCCTGTACCCCTAAACCCCTAAGCCCCCCAAAACCCTCTTCAACCCTTTTCCCCTTGGCACCTTGTAAGCCCCCAATCAAACCCTAATCCCTAAACCCTAACCCTAAACCCCAACTCCCTAAACCCCCAAGCCCCCCCAAAACCCTCATCTTCCACCCTTTTCCCCTTGGCCCCCGAAACCCTGGTCTTCAACCCTTTTCCCCTTGGCACCTTGTAGCACCTTTGTCCTTTTAGCAATAATAGACAGAGCCCTATACCTATATCCCTTAGTAGGAATTATTTAAGGTCTACTAGCCGGTCTGTTTATTCTTTTGGGGGAGCCATGAAAAAGGACAAGGCTGCCTTGTCCTAAACCCTAAACCCTTAACCCTTATAGATCCCTTTAAAGGAACCCTAACAGCCCTAAAATAAGGGTCCCTCCTTTTCCCCTTGGCACCTTGTAGAGCATCAGCCACGCATTCAGCCCCGAGGCCAAAACCAGGGTGGAGATCTCTGGGCCTGCACCGAACTCCCCAGAGACTCCAAAATCCTTTAATTAAGGAATATACCTTAAATTATAGTAGGATCCCTAATATGATTTAAGGTATATTCCTTAATTAAGGGATATTGGAGTCTCTGGGTCCTACTTAGTAAGTGCTGAAAGGGCTCCTTAAAAGGCTCCTTAAAGGGATCTATAGGGTTCCTTAAAGGGATCTATAGGGTTTAAGGTTTGGGGTCTACTTGGAGGTTCACGGGACTTAGTACGGAGAGTTATAAGTACCTCAACTGGGGTTATAAGCAATTATAAGTATAGTTACCTTATTTATGACCCTAGTCCCTAGTTACTAAGTCCCATGAACCTCCAAGTAGGGACTCTCTGGGGGCTCCTTTTTTAAGGGGATCTATCAGGGTTTCCTTCAGGGTTCCTATAAGGGACCCAGACCCCCGGGAGGACCAGGGGTTTAGGGTTTCGGGTTTGTTTAAGGGTTTAGGGTTTAGGGGTTTAGGGTTTAGGGGTTTAGGTGTTTGAAGGTTTAGGGGTTTAGGGTTTAGGGGTTTAGAGCTTACGGTTTAGAGTTCGGGGTTTAGGGTTTAGGGCCTGGAGGATCTAGAGAGCAGATCCCCTAATTTGGTGCCCTTTACTACTCAGGGTACGATATGGGAACCCCCATTACCCTAGGCATCCAAGGACTCATATATTAAGGCTTTTGGGCCCAAAGACCATACTATTTAAGGCTTTGGGGCTATTTTGATGCCCAGGGTTAAGGGATCTACTTTTGGGATCCCGGGGGTCTGGGAACTCTATTAGGGACTCACTGGGCTCCTTTTGAAGGGATCTACAAGGGTTCCCTGAAGGGCTCCTAGAAAGGATCTTTAAGGTTTTGCACTGAAGGCCTCGCGGTTTTGGGGGGTTTGTTTGGGTTTATGGTTTAGGGTGTTTAGGGTTTAGGGCTTGGGGCGCTTAGGGGGTTTAGGGGTTTAGGGGGTTCAGGGGGTTTAGGGTTTCGGGTTCAGGGTCTAGGCTTTGGACTTACAGTTCAGGGTATGGTGTTTTGGGTGTTTTGGGATTTGGGGGCTTGGGGTTTTGGATTCAGGGCTTAGAGCTTCAGTTTTGTTTTTTGGTGGCGTTTAGGGTTTCGGTACAACCTGAAATCGTATTATTAGGATTACTACAACTATCAGAATTATTACCAGCATTCCTATCGTTGCTGCTACTTGTACGAGGGCTGCTACTATACCAAAACTATCCCTCACCAACATGAGCAATGTCACGACCTTTGCTGCTGCCAATGATGCTTGCTTTCCCCATGCACAGGATATCATGAGGGCCCGTAGAAGAGGTTGCTGTACAGGACTGCTGATGTGAAAAGGCCACTATCAGAGCTGGAGTACAGGGGCCCTAATTTCCAAAACCCTAAACCAAAACCTTTAACCCACAACATTCCCAAACCCTAATGTGTAAACCCCTACACCCTCTTCCAAGGGCATGCAGCAGGATCGAAAATGGTCGACCCAAGCGAAGGGGTCGCAGTTGTCGCAGCGAGGCTGAACGATGGAAGTGGCGCTGGCTCAACCAAGTAAGGCCTAATGTAGGAACCTGATTAAGAAACCCTGGCCCTATAACCCCCAATGTATGAGGATTCGTAGAAGGAACCCCATACGTAAAGACCCAAGGTTTCTTAATCAGGTTCCTACATTATTAAGGATTTTTGGGGTACGTCTCCTTGTACTTCTGCACCGTCGCAAGTTCCCTTTCTAGCCCTAAGGGTCCATGTGCTCAAATAGTATATACTTTGGCCTTAAAGTAGTCCCTATATGGGTACATTGGGCCCAAAGTATATACTATTTGGGTACATGGACCCTTTAGTTGACGATCTTGAGCTACGCCTTGTCCCACGTCAAGCAGAACCAGGAAGCAGCACTGAAGGAGAGAACTCAGGAAACTCTGCTTGCCTTGCAACCCTACTCCTGTTGGCTCTTCCGTGGCTCCGTCAATGTGGTCAGTTGGGCAAGGAGCCGCCTGTTCTGCTTGTCAGCGGCCAACTTGATATGGGAGTTTCCGAAAATTGGGGGGGGGGGGGGGGGTACCTTATGATCCTACTATTTAGGGTACTATATTAGGCTCCCCTATAATCGGAAACTCCCATATCCGTCTCGATCTTCAGCACATGCTCCACCTCCTTGGTCCTGCCCTTGTCGACATCAGCGGACGCCTGGAGCTGCTGCACCAACGACTCCATCAGGGGTTGGGGATGTTTAGAGCGTAGGACCATATAGGGCTTAGGGCTTTAGGCCCAACTCCCGCACAAAGAATTTGTGACAAAAGACAAAACTTTCCTGGGTAAGGGCATACTCAGAGTCGAGTGTCTTCCGCCCTTCAGCTGCCTAGGCTTACTGGGTTGTTCTCTAAATTCAGATCCTTTATACCCCTTTTAAGGTCCTTTTAATAAGGGAGCCATATAAAAGGGACCTTATCGATCCCTTTAAGGGGCCCAAAAGAAAATACCCCATGGGACCCTAATCACGAACACCAACTAACTCGGAGATGGAGATGCCACGGACGGCGGCGGACAATCATCGTGACTCCAACATCCCTTCATTCAGGAATACTTAGGGCTCCTGTAAGGGATCTACAAGGGATCTATAGGGTTTAGGGTTTAGGGGACTCCATTATCCCTCAATTCAGGAATATACCTGAAATTATAGTAGGATCCTTAATATAATAAGGAATATTCCTTAATTACTGGATTACTGGATATTGGGGTCTCTGGGCTTTGCTAGTATCATTGTCATTGTGGACATCAGGAAAGCCTTCGTTATGATATGGGCCCTGAATAATTTTACTTCATAGGTTTGGGAGCATAATATAGTAGTATAGTAAAAAGAAAAGGAATCAAGGAACAGTGTCGGTGTATCTCAGCCGCCGAATGGCGAGATGCATGATAGCTGTGCGAAATGCAGTCCAGAAACCCTGAACAAAAACAATCATTGAATGCCTAGAATTTGGGCGGGCTGCAAGTTCATTGCTGATCAAGCGGTACTAAGGCCTATAAACCCCAATGAAACCCTCATTGAACCTTAGATGTTGAGGTTAAGGGTGAATGAATCAGGCTGACCATTGAACCTGGCCTAAGAAA